TTGTTGAGCTCTGCTATGTGTGTGAGAATGTGCTGGGCTCAGAATAAACAGCAATAAATGAGACAGAAATGGTCCACCCCTTGCCAGGCCTAAGCCGATCTGGGTATTGAGACAAGCAGTTAAAGCCCAACATAGTAAGTGCTATGATAAGACACAAACTAAGCATGGCTGGAAGGGCAGCCAAGATGGTACAGAGGAATTGATGTCTTGACTGGCACACTTGAAAGATGAGTAGGAGTCAGTCGGACCAAGAGAAGGAAAAGTGTGTTTCCACCAGGAAGAAGAGTATGTGCAAAGTCCTGGGGGTGATAAGCATGGCGTGTGTCAACAGAAAGACATGGCTGGAACTTGGGTGTGAATTAGAGTGGGGAGAGAAGGCAAGGAAGAGTGTTAAGAGCTTTGCAAACTGTGCGAAGGCATTGCATTTAGATTTCACTTTTAGAGCTTGGAGGAGACTCAGGATATTGAAGCAGGATATTGACATGATGGCATATGATTTTAGAAAAATTACTGTGATGACATGGTGGGGAATGATTGGCAGGGGAAGGCTGGAGGCAGAGGGTCATGTGGTGGGCTGTAATGATCTGGCTGTAATGATCTGGGCTAGAGAAGGTAGAGACTATGGTAGTGCTCAAGGCAGAAATGGTTTTGCTTTAAAAAATAATGAGAAAATATTTGTTTTGATCTGCGTGGCTGTGTCAGGGATGGGGAGGGAGGATTGAATGAGGAAGAAGCTCAAATCCATGATCGAGCCCATGTTTCAGGCTTCAGGTGCAGACATTTCTTGGTTCAGCTGGTAAGTGAATAGGAACACACTGGTGAGGAAAGAAGATAGTCGTCAGAACTATCTGGGGCACATCCATCTTGACGAGTGTGAGAGAGTCAAGTCTTGATGGATGGGGGCAGGTGGACATACAGGTCAGAAGCTCAGGAAGGAGATTTGGTCTGAGGTGACCGCCAGAAAATACTGAGGGAACAGAGGGACAAAAAGAGAGACCTGCAATATCATATTGGCTTTCTCTAAGGTGACTGCTTGGCTTGTCTTTATATTCCTTTTGAATCTCTGCATAGGTATGGGTATTTGTTTATTTATTTATTTAGAGATGGAGTCTTGCTGTGTCACCCAGGCTGGAGTGCAATGGGGCAATCTTGGCTCACTACCACCTCTGCCTCTTGGGTTCAAGAGATTCTCCTGCCTCAGCTTCCTGAGTAGCTAGGATTACAGGAGCTTGCCACCACGCCCAGCTAATGTTTGTGTTTTTAGTAGAGACAGGGTTTCACCATGTTGGTCAGGTTGGTCTCAAACTCCTGACCTTGTGATTCACCTGTCTTGGCCTCCCAAAGTGCTGGGATTACAGGCATGAGCCACTGCGCCTGGCCCCGTCATTATTTATTTTCATAACTAACAAATGTAGACTTTCTGTGTAATGACAACAAAGCCAAACCAGCTTCTATCAATGGAGGGAAAATAAGAAGAGAAGGAAAATGAAGAAAACGGAAGCTTGGAAAAAAGCTGAATGTAGGTCGTTCTGTTGCTGCAGGAGCTGGGGTGGGCCTGGCAATTCCTACTCGCAGGCGTCTTCTCTCCCCACTTCCTTCTTTCTGGTTCCATCCCATTCACCTTCTGTCCCCTCCACTTCCTATCGGCCAAGCCCTAGATTCCTCCAGAGGCTTTTTATTTTTATTTTTTTGGCGGGCAAGAAAATAGTGCTGATTATTTTTCCAAACCTTCACCTGAATGTCACATTGTGGCTTTGGCCCTTTGGGCTGGGTTCATCCCAGCCCGCACAGAAGGACTTTTGGGGCCAATCTGATCACATACATACAGTACTGTCTCTTCAGTTAAGAAAACCCACACTGCTATGTTTCACGAAGACAACTGGTGTGAGTTGTTTTTTTAGAAAATCAACTCTACTTCAATAAGATTTTCTCATGCGTTATTTTGATAAAACCAAATAATAAAATTTAAAAAGAACTTCTTCTTAATGCAACTTAGATCAATTGCTTTAATAACACAGATTGACCAAGTTATACTTGTTAAGGAAAAAAAAAACCTACTTTGCTGTTTTTCTTCTTCTGATGTGAGCTGAAGACTTACAAATAGTTGTTAATGGTGCTTGGTTAAGAATAATTTGTTTTCATTGCATATATCAAATATGTATTTATTAAATTTTTCTTTTTGCCAGTTTATCAATTCTAGCTTTGTCACAAAAGGTTTGCAGTATGTACATGATTCTGATGTATGTTAATTTCCATTTTTGTTGAGATGAATTCCCTTGTGAATTCCATTCTGATACACATCTACAGTGGATGGCCAATCCAAACATGAGTCTCAGCCAACTGGCCTCTGACCCAATTCAGTTCTCCCATCTTCTTCTGGCTTACAAAGTAACTGGCTCTGGAGAGAAAGTGAGGCAAAGTAATATTTGGTTTGAATGGTTATTGACTATTTTCTTCCGAAACTTAATGTATACTAATTTATTTATTTATTTTTTATGTATTTATTTTTTTAGAGATAGAGTCTTGTTCTGTTGTCCAGGTTGGAGTGCAGTGGTGTGATCATAGCTCACTGCAGCCTTGACCTCCTGGGCTCATAGTGATTCTTCTGTCTCCTGAGTAGCTAGGACTACAGGCATGTGCCATCATGCCAGGCTAATATATATATACATATTTTGTAGAGACAAGATATTGTTATGTTGCCCCAGCTTGTCTCAAACTCCTGATCTCCAGCTATCCTCCTACCTTACTTAGCTTCCCAAAGTGCTGGGTTTATAGGCACGAGCTGCCACACCTGGCCATATAATCATTTTTTTTAAGCTAAAACATATCAGCATATACTACATAAATATCACAGGAGACTAAACACTGAAAGTTTCTTTAAGGTATCAGAAGAATATACTTTTTGCTTGCAGTTAGCATCTGCACAGATAAGTTTTGTTTCTGGTTCTATTACTTTCTCAGTTTGACCCTATTAATAAGGACAATTATAAAAATAATAACTATGTCTGGATATCTGAGTCAGTGTGTGGTCTTTTACTGAAGTTACAGGTTCATAACTCTGCTGACTAGTTTTCTTGTTTCTGTTATGCAATAGAAGAGTGCAAACATTAATTTGATCTGAAGCCCATTTGTACAGTGACTTTTATAATGTATATTTAAAGATGGAAAACCAAGTTTTATGAGACTAGCCTTTCTTGTCAAGTCCTCACTCCACCCTATTCTAATTGGGCCTGACCCTTCAGTTGAATAAACAACAAAGAGTTCTGTAGTTAAAACATTTCACTACATGTTGCATCTTGCCCTTAGTAAACGAAAAAAATAGAGACTTAAGCAGAGAATCTGAATTAAAGTGTGGAATATATATTCAATTTTGGAGTGGGAGAATGAGAAACATGTTTTACAATAATATATATAATTTCCTTAGTCTAAATTCAGGACATTTCTCCAAGACATGTAAAAATTTAGATTTATGCAAACAGACTTTATAAAAACATGCCAATATGTATTAATTTGTGAATTTTAATATTCTGCTTCCTATAAACCAGATTCCTTTTGAGGGATAAAGGGATGGAGGTGACTTCTAAATCTTAGAGCAGAAGCTTCCTGTGGGCAGCTGGACATATGTACCAGGAGCTCTGAGGAGACAGTTAGATTGGGAGCATACATTCTGAGTGATCTGCATTTGGTGAAGATGGAAGCCATGGGCGTCCATTAGGTTCTCTTGTGGGAGAATGTGGAGTAGTAAGAGAAGATGAAGACCTAAGACTGAGCCCTGAGCTGCTCTGGCTTAATGGTGGATGGAGGAAATTGAATCTGCAAACAATACTGGCAGGCTACAGCCTGAGAGGCAGAAGGGACTGGGGTGTTTGGGATTATGGATGCCAAGGGAAAAGCCTATTTCAAGGGGGAAGGGAAGAATCAACATCGTAGGCTGCTTCAGATAGGTTATGTAGGATGTGGACCAAAAAATATCTAAAATTTGGCAACGGTAGTCATTGGTGATCCTAGGAAGCTGCTTTTTTTGGGGCAACTAAGGTGGAAAACATTGGTGTGGGTTGAGCCATGCAGGAGAGGTAAAGAAAAGGAGATTTCATGTGCAGACATTTCTGAGTTCAGCTGGGAAGGAGGGATAAGATAGAAGATCGAAGTTAGAGAGTGTGGGGGGTAAGGGAGACTATTTTATGGGACAGTGTTGATTGTGATCAAAGCCAATGAGTAAGGAGCATTTGAGGGAGAGAGAATCAACAAGAGAAAAAAGAAAGAGGGTTATTCATAAAATAAGAGTAACAACAACTAACATCTTTTGAGTGTTTTCCGTACTCAGGGAACTATGGTATAAACTCTTGACCTATATTCTCACATTTAATTCTTAGAATAACTGTATGTGATGGGTTCCATTATTTTCTAGGTTAGAGAGGAGGAAAGTGAGACCTAGAAATGTTAGGTAGCTTGCTCAGAGTGCTCCAGCCAGTCAGTGAGGGATGAACTTACGAACTAAAGGACTGAACTTTGTCACCACCCAGCCCACCAAGCTGGCTTGAATTTAGATATCCTGTGATGCATTTGAGTACCTACTTAGTTAAATTATATTTTAAGAAGGGCTACTTTGAAACTCTCTCTCTGAAAATTCTATTTTTAACAGGTCTACCCTGACAACGATTTTGGCAAGCAGCCTTGGTAAAACAAAACAAATCAAAAAGCAAAAAGCCTTATCTGCTGAGAAAACATAACCATATAAAATATCATGCTACAAAATACAGGCTGGATGAACTGAAGGCAACTTGCCCAGTGGACTCCTGATGCAATTGTCTGCTATAGAAGTTGAGTCCACGAGAGGTTTTGTTTGCACTTCAAGAAGGACAGAAAAAGGCAGGCAGGCTGAGTAGCAACATAGTAAGGCTGAGGAAGTGATAGGAAAATATCCTGTAAAAGATTTCACTGTAGATTCTGATTGGCTGTTTCCTGAAATAATATTAATTCTGTCCTCTTGCTTTTAATAGGACATAACGACTACATGTGTCCAGCTACCAACCAGTGCACCATTGATAAAAACCGGAGGAAGAGCTGCCAGGCCTGCCGGCTCCGAAAATGCTACGAAGTGGGAATGATGAAAGGTGGTAGGTACATCTCTCCCAGGGGCCCTTGGGGACTGCCCTGGCCACCACCAGGTGCTGGCTCTTCCCATCCAAATAACACCATAGGAATTTTGCGTTTTTTCTTTTAATTGATTTTTTTCTATTCTTATTTTTCTTTGCAACAAAAGTATTTTCATACTCCACTTTATTTTAAAATGGTGAAAGTAACTGGCACTGGAAATTCTAACATGCCATTTTGTGTTTTAGATTTTCAATGTAAATAATTATACTTTAAATCAACATGTGTGGGAGGCAGTGTTGGAAGAAAAGGAAGAGTGCTTAGTGAATTATTCTAGAAAAATTTTTCAGTTACTGTTTATATTGCAAGTGCTAGAAAATGATATCTGAGGATAAACTTTCCCTAAATTGAGACTTGTACATGTGAAAGCTAAGTAGCTAATTTATAGCCTTTCAATCTCTTATCATTCCTTAAGGAATGTGAATTTCAATCAAAAGACACCTTTCTCTTTAGAACTTGAGTCAACCAGCCACTTTCTTAACCTCAGTGTCTAGCATGGTGCTGGCATTGTTGACTACTGAGCACTACACTAATAAGTGCCAAATCACTCAGGATTTGGTCCTGTGGGCTTGTGTCTTTGTGGCCTTTGTGGCTCTGTGTGTGTGTGTGTGTGTGTGTGTGTGTGTGTGTGTATGTGTGTGTGTGGTTTTCTGTCTTCTCATGTATCCCATCTTCCAGTTTTCTCATACAGGAATCTGGAAACTGACTCCCAGTTCTGGGAATATTAGGAGCCCCATCAGTGTGGCTGCCTAATTGAGCTCGTTGTATTCTTGTGAGTCTCATCTTGAGGAACATTGCTTCTAGTCTTGGATAGCCTTCAGTGTAGTGGAAGAGAACAAGTAGAAAATGTGTAATTAAAGTCATGAGGCCAAAACGAGCAGATGACCTGAGGTTAGGAGTTCGAGACCAGACTGGCCAACATGGTGAAACCCTGTCTATACTAAAAATACAAAAATTAGCTGGGTGTGGTGGCAAGTGCCAGTAGGACCAGCTACTTGGGATGCAAAGGCAGGAGAATCATTTGAACCCGGGAGGCAGAAGTTGCAGTGAACCAAGATTGTACCACTGCACTCCAGCCTGGGTGATAGAGCGAGACTCTGTCTCTAAATAAATAAATAAATAAAGTCATGGATTCATGTAGTGTTTCAGAAAAATACGAGCAGAGGGAAGGGCTGATGACAGTGCTACCTGCTGATTGTAATAGAGAAAAGCCCATTTCTTTTCTAAAGGAGGTGAATCTTGGGGTGATTCAAGGAAAACAAAATTTCAGTGAAAAGGAATAGTGATTTTGCAGATAGAGGGCAGTTAACCTTTAACTCATTCTTACATGGATGCAGGAGGAAGGAGAGGAAAGACCAAGAATGGAAATTATGATAAAGACAGGCTTGATTGTTAACAAGTTTACAGTGAAAGATTTCTTAGTCCCGGGGTCATAAATAAGCCGGACAGGTTGAGGTTTGGAATGCAGCCTTTGGAATAAATTCTCCTGGTGAAGAGATGCAATATTGAATTTACACATTGTGTGAACTGTGACTATGACTATACATCTTGAACATCTGAAAAAGCAGCTTTAATTCAAAGGGTAATTAATTCCAAGAATTTAGCAGCTACATTCAGAAAATGACACTTGAGTCGTAGATGGATTAAATATTTAAGGAATTCATCTTTCTTTGTACTGTTGGAGAATTAGTCAGGCTTAATTAAACTCACAAAATGCTTCTTAAGGTAACTTGATAAGTGACAGGAATATAACAGCTGCATGAGAAAAGCTTAATTTGAAACAGTGGAGTCAGGGTTAAATATTCTTCTTTGGTGATTATAGGTAGGCTAAGTGCAGGCTCTTACATACATTCCCCTTGAAAGCTGAAATAATCAAGTTGTGAACATGTTCAAAACATTTTTTAAAATGTGAGGGTACCCATGCATTGACCCCACTTCATAAAACCAATTCTGTTTTTATTGTAATGAATATCCAGATACAGTCTGGCTGCATGAATATAAATTATGCATTCTCATTTTTAATCTAACAAAAATTCTAATATGCAAAGACATAATAAAAGTCTCTCCACTGTTCTCACCTAGGAATCTAGATAATTCGACTGCACATAGCAGACCATGTATGCCTGCATACAGTTGGTTGTATCCCGATGACTGTAAAATATATATCTGTGTTAGTTTTCTAGGGCTGCCATAATGAAATACCACAGGCTAGGTGCCTTAAACAACATAAATTAATTTTCTCCCATTTCTGGAAGCTGGACGTCCAAGATCAAAGTGCTGGAAAATTTGGTTTCTAGTGAGGCCTCTCTTCTTCTTCTTTTTTTTTTTTTTTGAGAGACAAAGTCTTGCTCTGTTGGCCAGGCTGGAGTGCAGTGGTGCAATCTCGGCTCACTGAAACCTCCGCCTCCCAGGTTCAAGCGATTCTCTTGCCTCAGCTTCCCAAGTAGCTGGGACTACAGGTACATGCCACCACACCCAGCTAATTTTTGTATTTTTCTGTAGAGATGAAGTTTCACTATATGTTGGCCAGGCTGGTCTTGAACTCCTGACCCCAGGTGATTTGCTCACACTTGGCTTCCCAAAGTGTTGGGATTATAGGCATAAGCCCCACACCTGGCCTGTGAGGCCTCTCTTTTAAGCTTGTAGCCAGCCGTCTTCCCCCATGCCCTCACATGGCCTTTCCTCTGTGTCCAAGTACTCCTGGTGTCTCTTCCTCTTCTCATAAGCCCTGTTGGATTAGGGGTCCACCCTTATGACCTCATTTAACCTTAATTACCTCCAAAAAGGCCCTATTTCCAAATATAGTCATACTGGGGCTTAGGGCTTCAACATAAGAGTTTTGTGGGGACACAGTTTACAACAGGCTGCCCTCCCAAAATACCATAGACTGGGTGCCTTAAGTAACAGAGGTCAATTGCCTCACAATTCTGGAAGCTGAAGTCTGAGACCAAGGTGTTGACAGGTTTGATTTTTTCTGAGGACTCTCTCCTTGGCTGGTGGACAGCCGCCTTCTCACTGTGTCCCCACACGGCCTTTCCTCCATGCGTCTGCATCTTCTTCCTTTTTTATGAAGACACCAGTCATACCGGATTAGGGCCCCATACTTAGGACCTCATTAAATCTTAATTACCTCGCTTAAGGTCCAATTTTCAAATACAGTCACATTCTGAGGCCCAAGGGATAGGGTTTCAACATGAGTTTTAAGGGTGCACAATTCAGTATGTAGCAATATCCCATAGGGATTACTCAGCAATTGCTTAATATTTATCTATGTATAATGAAAACATGTATCTTTCTGGCAGTTTTTATATGTGAATAAGTTTTAAGTGAAACTCTAAATTCATAAAATTATAGCCCATGAGAATGTCTCATTTTAATGATATGTATAAAGTGCTTGCCATAAAGCAATATAATTTATTATATTTTCTACAACATGGGATACCACACATGGCCACAGGATACTTTCTATAACAACTCCTTGAAAAATCCCATTGAATAAAGACTTAATTTACAATTGGAAGTACAATGATAACTAACCATAAAATGCGCAGTCACATGGTAAAGACCAGCTGTGGCTGAATAAATCTTTACAACATGTTTTCAACCATTAGGGTTCACAACAATCCACTTTCTTAACCAAACTGGTTACCAATTAGGGTGTTGAAACTCTACCTATGAAATAAAAAGTTTAGTTTCAGTTAAAAGAGAACCACAGACCTACTCCCTACTTTTATAGCAAGGCTGAGAAAATTTACTGAAGATCTATTCCAAATACCCAAAAGAGTGCATGATTTATCTACATTAAGTAACAATTTTAATCTGTTGTAATACTGCCGCTGAAAATCCCAGCATCGTTACTGGATTTGGTTCTGAACCATGGTAGCTCAATAAGATACAGGATTTAAATTGTGCTTTTGGGAATATGCTTTTCTGTCCTAGTACATGTGCTGGTCTCTGAGTTGGTTTTTCCTCTTTATTTGCCTTCTTCCCCTTGAACTTTAGGTTGTAGATTACATGTCTCTTCTTCAGGAAGGCCTGAACTGTTCCCTGACAGTTCCTGAGGCTCGAAGTTCCAAATCAAAGTGCTGGAAAATTCATCTTCTAGCTTTCATACCAAACAGCTCTTCTCTTAGCTCTCATCGCAATTATCAGTCACTCAATGTTTGTCGTTATATATGGTCCACAAGCTCCACGATGGCAGGGGGCCTCTGTGTCTCAGTTACTGATCTCGCATGAAACAAGTCACAAAGTAGGTGTTCAAGAAGTGTTTTTTTGCACTAATTAATGAATTGATTCAATTCATTTAAATAGTTATTTGTGTAGGGCTTCTTATATGCAAGCTGTTGGGGATAAAGCAAACATGAATAAGATTCTGGTTCCTTCCCTCAATCTCCTCACTGTATAAAGAGAGCATTTGTGTGGGAAGAGGCGAATAAAAATCCCGATGACAAGTGGAGACTGGGTTGCAAGATGGCTCAAGTACTGAAAGATCAGGATGGGAATCTAGAGCTTTATCCAACTGCTTCCAGGTCTAGTCAACTCAGAATGTTACTCAGACCCCCTGACTTCCAAGACATATTGTTGCTCAAGAATTTGGCCTTCTTACTTAGTTTGGTAGAAAGAGGAACTCTTCCAAAGATAAATCTGTTCAAATGCTGGCTCCTCCTCAAACTTACTGAGCAACCTTGTTAAAGTCACTTTTATGAGCTTCACTGTTTTCAAATATGAAATGGAAATAAATAAATTTTACTGGCTGGCATAGTGGCTCACGCCTGTAATCTCAGCACTTTGGGAAGCCGAGGTGGGTGGATCACTCCTGGATCAGGAGTTCGAGACCAGCCTGGCCAACACGGTGAAACTCCGTCTCTACCAGAAATACAAAAATTAGTTGGGTGTGGTGGCAGGTGCCTGTAATCCCAGCTACTCACGAGGATGAGGAAGGAGAATCACTTGAACCCAAGAG